TCAGGGGGCTCCAACCGCTTTTTTATAATATAATGACCTATCAGCAATCTCCGTAGTTTAGGATTCGAGATCAGATCTGATGTACATCGAAGGTTACGTGTACAACAAAAATGCATTCATAGGCCCCATTCGCTGGTCTAAAACTTGACTGAAACTGGCTGAAAAATACTGTTCTGGCTAAAATGTTGTGAGAGAAAAACACTGTTCCGGCTAAAAAAAGAAGCCGAACAAGCCAAACTTCATACCAGCCGAACGAGACCATAGTCAACTTCGGGAACTGTTTGCAGCCCTCGCCGTGGTGACGTGCAGGCGTGCAGCGTTCGTATGAGCACGCTGCACGCTGTATATCGTTGACGACTTGACGTTCCGTCGCTCAAGCAGACAGAAATGCAAGCGAATGAAAACAATTAGGGCAGACAATAACATATACTGTACGTTGTTATCTGCAGCGATGTAGACTGCATTGTTCATTGCATTCTGTGGCCATCAGCTACGGTAGGTGCAGATTCTCCATCCGATTCTGATTCTACGTGGAAGCTGAGAGGGTGGTTTTCTTTAATTATTTAGCATAAGCTCTCAAAACCACGATGGAGAATCACTCCATCGAATTAGGAGAACTACTTTTTTTAGCTCTCAGTCTCTTAATTCATTTCAAAGAATCACTTCACATAATCAGCAGAAAATTATTTCTCCAAAAATTGTTTGGCAGAGCTGTTGGATTCAGCTGAAAATCAGCTGGAGCTCTGCCAGGACCTTGGTAGGCTGTTCGCTTAGCCTCAAGGATTCAGGAAGAAAATGGCCCAAACGGCATAAGGTTTCCAAGCGCACTGGCTACTGGGCTGTGTGATTGACCGCATCAGCATGGTGGGCTCAGGTCGCACGGTCCCTCACAAACGGTTCCAAAAGCCCAATAATGTGATTTCTTCAGCCCACCAATTGAAAAAAGATCGCCTTCACCTGGCACACTGACAGCCTGATGTTCAATGTTAGAGAAAGAGAAACCACACGATTCCTGATTTTTCATATCGACTTGTCGACAAAGTGACTTGACAATTTTTCTCCAGGAAACGTGACATCACTGCAAACCCATCTCTAGTTCTCCATTCTCCGAATCTGGTTCTTTTTTCTCCGTTTCTTTCTTCAGCAACGAGAGAGACAGGGAGGGAGGCTGGTGAATGAAAACTGCAAAGATGAAGAAAACCGCGCGGTCGCAAGTCCCTCTCCGACGCTGACTCGCCGGCTCCCGTCTGGTCACCACCCTCATAGACCGCGCCGCACCGCCCAGTCCCATCCACCGCGCGGTGCTCCCCCTGTCCCCCAGCGCCCTCTGAAAAAAGGCGCACGGTTCGCGCGTCCCATTTCACCTGTTCCCTCACGTTGCTCCCTCCACCCTACTCTGTCGGTTACACCCTCTCCCTCTCCCCTTGCCGGCCGGTTTGCTCCGTCCATGGCCATGGCGATGGCGGAGTGGTGGGATGCGGCGACGGCGGCCGTCGCAGCGTACACGGGGATGACTCCTGCGGCGTTCTTCACGGCCGTGGCGGTGGCCGTGGCGCTGTACGTCGCGGTTTCAGGACTGCTCGCGCGGCCGGCGCAGACGTCAACGAGGAGGGAGGAGGTGGCGGCGGAGAGGGCGTTCGAACCACTGCCGCCGCCGGTGCAGCTCGGCGAGGTGACGGAGGAGGAGCTGCGAGCTTACGATGGGTCCGACCCCAAGAAACCGCTGCTCATGGCCATCAAGGGCCAAATCTACGACGTCACGCAGAGCAGGTACATGCTTTCTAGCCTGTTGTTTTGATTTTTGTTTGTGATGGAAAAACTTGGAACGGAGACACTAGCAGTCTAGCACCCCTAAAACTCTCATAGAATCTTTAGTACGGAAGTAGTACTTACTTTTAAAAAAAATCAAATGTTTCATATAGGAGTCTTCAGATAATCTTTATGACTGAAAATAAAAGAAAATGGTTGGACTAGGAAATTAAGTTGTCATTTCAGATTTTCAGTTAGTAATGTTCACGTCGGCAAAGCAAGTGGAACTGGGCAAAAGCTGAATTTACCGACCTTGCCATGTGAAATCAAAGGAGAAATATCTTGTTTCGCATGGTAAACTAATTGTTTGATGCTTAAGCGCCACCATGGCTCTTAATAAAATTCAAGTGTTTCCTAATAAACAAGAATGAATTTTCTTCCTTTCAATTTTGTTTGCTCAAAAGACAACTCATGGTTCATAGGATCGCAACAAGATAATTTCTACCAAAAAACCACTATAAATTTTGATACTAAAAGTATAATTGGATTCATTATGGAATATATTTACATAGTATATATACTTTGGTACCAAATAAGTATAATTGGATTCGTTATGGAATATTTACATAGCATGTTATTCGATGTCACATATATTAATACTTTTTTCAATAATTTGGTCAAACTTTACATAGTTTGACTAGGATAAAGTTAGAATTGGATTCTGTTCCGGAGGTCTTACTTAGCAATAGCATTTTAGCCGACTAGTGTGAGATGACAAAGCTACGTAAGCGTTTAGGTCAATTTGACGATATATGTCCTGTTCGCTGGGCTTATAAGCCGTACTTTTTCAGTCAACGAATATTATTTTTCTTTCACAACAAATCAGCCAACAGTACTTTCAGCCATGGCTTAGCGAACAGGGCAATACGCGCATACTGACCGTCCTTGCGGTTTCTAGATGCTGGTCAGTCCCAAATAGATTCATTTCTCATGTAAACGAGAGCGCTTCAAGTCACCACATTCAGCAAGACGCTTTCAGATATTTTGAGCTCAGTTATTTTCCATCGTCAACTGTAGATTGCTCAGATGGTAATATACCTTTCTGACCTGAGAAAATTCTGCTGATTCTTGTTCTAATAAAATGATCTGACCTTCAAGGGGAAATTCAGGTGTTATTTCCTCCTTTAGAAGATTTATCAGAAAGGAACAGCGTATCTGATGGCTTCAAAAGGACTAGATGGTCAACCAGATACCATTAAAGTACTTGGTTCTGGATGATATTCTATGTCAAGACTTCTCCATTCTCTGGATTCTGACATTATTTATTTCTATCCTTCCATATTGAGCACTATTTTCCCAGTTGATTTAAAAATTTACAGGAACCAGTAATTTTCATGAGCATTACATATTCCTGGTTGCAACATGTTCATCTTCCAATTTCATCTCCTTTCGCAGGATATTTTATGGACCTGGTGGCCCGTACGCATTGTTCGCTGGCAGAGACGCGAGTAGGGCTTTGGCAAAGATGTCATTTGAAGCTAGTGACTTAACTGGTGACATTTCGGGGTTAGGTCCGTTCGAGGTGGAGGCCTTGCAAGAATGGGAGCAAAAATTCAAGAGCAAGTATGTTACAGTTGGAATAATCAAGAAGACTGTTCCATTCTCAGAGGGAGATACTGCAAGGAGCGCCGTGACAACTGAAAGAGACATAGATGCTAGTACTATTGAAATCGACGATGTGCCAGAACCAAAGGAAACTGGAATGACAAACCAAGGGAGTGTAGCGGAGAAGATAATGGAATCACCAGATGTTGATGTTAGCACAAGCAGCCATGAAGATACAGAGGAGAAGGCAAAGGAATTGCCAGATTCAGATGTGACAAATACGAGCAGCCAAGTTGATGCAGTGGAGAAGCCAGAGGAAACACCAAACGCAGTTGTAAAGAACAGAAGCATTGAAGATGCAGTTGAGCCAAAGTTAACGCCTCAGGTAGTAGATGGGAAAGATACATGTGAACCTGAAGACGCAACAGAGAAGCCAGGTGAAGCAGCAGATGCCGTAGAATTAAAGAACACCACCGGTCATGAGGATGCTAAGCAACCAAAGGAAACACGGAATGAAGATCAAAAGGATGTAAGCAGCCATGAACATGGTGAGGAGAATCCAAAAGAAACTTCAGATCTAGAGGTCAAGAATGCATAGAGTTGGAGCTGTTGCTGGGAAGCTTTCTGGCTGTCTGAGCCAGTTAACATAATAGAGTGTAATGCACATTGTGGCCAGAATTCAGTTATGAATTCTTGTATGGAGTATAATTATACTTAAAGTAAACTAATAATAACAATAATCGTAATAGTAATAATAACAATAATAATGGTACAATCAGATCAAGGTAAACTGTCGTTCACGTTGGGTCCAATTATGCAAGCTCTTAATTTAGTATTTTACATATAAGTATTTACAAATCTTGTTTAGTATGATAGTATCAGCTGGAAAATATGTAATCAGCATTTTGAATGCTGATTTTGTTCATTGGTTACTATAGCTAAGGATATAAACTTACGGGCACGAGCACATCAGTTGAATTTAGCCTGGATGGTACTAGAAGCAATATCTTTTGGGTAGATACTTGATTGGATATCAATTGGGGCATTAATAAAGTTAGGACAAGCATTAGGGCCAAGCATGCAGTTCTACACCTTCGAATGATTGGTTTAAACTTAAAAAATGACTTTACCTCTTATTGGTCACAATCCATTCTATACAAACGATAATTCAATTATCACTCCAAGCTTCAGCATGTGTTCAACAGGTGCAACCTTGCACATATCTTCAACAAACATATTCAAACATCTAATGCTTCTACATCAGTGAACAAATAAAAGCCTGAAAAAGCATATTCACATCAGCCATGACATATTGGCACCAGATACCATTTTGGAATTTATACGGTAAACAAGCTTACATGTACGTTGATCTACTTCGTGATCCAAGATCACTGATTCTGTAATTCTTTGTACATCAAATTGTGAAACTTGGAAGAATCAGCACGACCTATGTACAACAGATAACTTGTGAAACTTGCATAAAACTAGAAGCTCGTTCTCGGCATGAGCAGTTTTGCAATTTCCCATGGTGTTTTCAGGACTAAATAGAAGACATATACTCTGCTTGTTCCTCCTGTTTTTTCCATGTTTAATTTGAGAGTTAATTGTCGAAGATGATATCAGATATGCGTTAATCGAATATCAGATCATTCTCTTCTATGTGATCCTACAAGTAGAGACTCAAGATTCTGCATAAACAGAAGGCAATAGAGGATGTTGAGCTATCACCAGCAATTAAATGATACAGAATTACAAAAATAAGTCCCCTACCTTCACTGATCGATTAAGTTCTTCAATCTTATGGAGCAATATATTGTCAGGAATTTTACCCTTAGAATCAAGGGCAGTGCGGATTGGGGAAGCTTTGACCTGCAAATAGTAATTCCACCGTTACAATCATGGACACCCAGCAGGAGCAATTAAATTTCAGTACAAACAAACATATGACCAGGGCTGCAGCACTACCTTTGCACTAGGTGAGTGTTATCCACTAGTTGGAACATGAGAAGGGCCTTCCTCGGAGTACAATGTAGTTTTCCAACTTTGGCCTTCTCTGATGCTCCTGGAAGCTTCTCTGATTATAACCTTCACAAAATAGAAACAGATGTCAGCAAACAATCAGCTAAGAGGTGATTGGAGAAATCCAAAACCAAAATATTATTTTCAACCGAGAAAGGATTAGTGTGGATATAAGACGGTAAAACAGAATAACAGGTATAAAAACAAAATACACCTTTATAAGGTCCACTGCAAGCAGTAACACAAAGCAATCACCTTTCTTAGAAAATCTGGATTATGGACACAATGAAATTGCAGCTCATCCACTGGAGCAGGTTTCCCATGGGCTATGCTTTCTATTCTAAATGTGTATAAGCTGTAAGCAGATTGTAGACAGCCTGCATAATAGATCCTTTTTTCAGAAACATACAAATATACAATTCTAACTTTTAAAGAAGGCCGTTTCACAATTTTCTGTTCAAGTTTATGCATGAGATACGAACTAGTGTAAGGTAGGCATATATTCCCTTAACTTTTAGATAAGTAAAATGCATTAACATGTCCATCAGTGATTTTTTCTTCCTTGAACATTCAGTGAATTTTTACAAAGAACCAATGCCTGGTTGAAGTAGGTAACCGAATTATAGCTTTACGCAAATGAATCCATCAAGTGGGGTATATAGATATGCACAGCTCTCCTGCATTGTTCCGAGAAAAAATGGAGTATATAGATGAATTAGGAAAAACAAATGCTGGTGCTAGCAAAACTTCATATCAATCATAAACAATGTTGAAAGTATTATCAGCTTAGTAAAATGCAGAGATTGTTTTGTTGTATTGGTTTGCATAAACAAGAAGTTGCGAATAGTTGAAATCGAAATATACACAGCCATTTACCTTGCTCAATTATAACATCAACAATCAAATGGAGAGGTACTTTAATCTCTTTCTTAACTATCCCCATGAATGGCAAGTACGAAGGCCTTATCGCCTGCGAAAATTTCACATCCATTCAGCGTTGATCTGAGAATTGAAAACTCCAGCACAACCAACCAATCAAGACTCAAGACGACAGGTTTACCAATACCTTGTACACTATCTTATTGTCGGTGACAAAGAGTTGGCGGGACAGGATGTCCCTCTTCAGCACGTATCTCTTGTACGGCAGGTAGAGAAGCAGGAGCAGCCCGATCCCCCACGCCAGGACAAGCAGCAGGGATATGAGTGCCCAGATGATGGTGTCGTACGGAAGGTAGTTGGGCATCAGCTCTTGGAACGAGGCCCGGTACACAACTCTCGCGGCGGCGTCGTCTCCTCCTCCTCGTCGCCTGCCTCGCACGTTAGCGTTAGGGTTAATTGGATTGGTGCCATTATAATTCTCGCGTTTCTTATAAATACCATTACTATTCAGCTTATTGTAAGAGTATCATTATAATTACACTGGAGTCTAAAAAATACCATTATATACACTTGCCGCGACGGTTGGCCCACATGCAGGTGTATACAGGGGTTATATACATTTGTATGGACCGTGTTGCCTCCAGATTCTCAGCGCCGGTTTGACTAGATTGACTCAATCGACTCAATCCATCCATTCCCCACCGCCTCCTCTCTCTCTCTCGCTCGAACCCTAGGCAGTCCGCCTCGGAGGCGACTGCGACCGGCGGCGGCGTGGACCGCGACTACCGAGGGCGGCGGCGTGGACCGCGGCTACTGCTGCTCCTTCTCCGCCCCATCTGCTAAGTGGAGGCGACTGCGACCGGCGGCGGCGGCGACCGCGACTACCAAGGGCGCCGGCATCGACCGCGGCTACTGCTGCTCCTTCCCCGCCCCATCTGCTGAGCGGAGATGGCATCCACAGCTGCCAGTTCAAGTGCTAGCCAGGTTGGTGGTCTCCCACGGATCGATTGCCCCAAATGCAAGATCCAGGTCATTAGGCGAAAGAGCAAGGCTGGCAATATGTATTAGGGTTAATTGGATTGGTGCCATTATAATTCTCGCGTTTGTTAGAAATACCATTACTATTCAGCTTATTGTAAGAGTATCATTATAATTACACTGGAGTCTGAAAAATGCCATTATGTACACTTGCCGCGACGGTTGGCCCACATGCAGGTGTATACAGGGGTTACGTACATTCGTATGGACCGTGTTGCCCCTAGATTTTCAGCGCCGGTTTGACTGGATCGACTCAATCGACTCAATCCATCCATTCCCCACCGCCTCCTCTCTCTCTCGTTCAAACCCTAGGTAGTCCGCCTCGGAGGCGACTACGACCGGCAGCGGCGGCGACCACGACTACCGGGGGCGGCGGCGTGGATCGCGGCTACTGCTGCTCCTTCCCTACGCCATCTGCTGAGCGAAGGCAACTGCGACCGACGGCGGTGGTGACTACTGCTCGCGGTGGCGGCGACCGCGACTACCGAGGGCGCCGGCGTCGACCGCGGCTACTGCTGCTCCTTCCCCGCCCCATCTGCTGAGAGGAGATGGCATCCACAGCTGCCAGTTCAAGTGCTGCAGCAATCGACGACAGCATACCGAGGTATTTTCGATCTGACATGACTTTTTCCCTCGACGAATAGGCTAGTTGTTAGGTTACCCTAGTTGTTACTGCAATTTGTTGTAGAACTCGTTGACTTGATCTGCTTACTTCCTGCTAGGACCGATCTCTTCTCGCTAGAGATTAAAGTTGAAGGTTTCAATACAACATATGCGTTGGGTAGGAAAGTTTACACCAAAGGTTTGGTGATTAAGTGGAATGTCGAGATAGGGTCGTTTTCTTTAGACTTGTTGATGGAAAGCTTGCGGAATGAAGTTAAATGGGCCTCTAACCAGTCTGCATCTCTGTGGTTCTTTGACAAGAATGTGCAAGAAGATGTTAGATTAGTCAGTGACATTCAGATGATAGATTTGTTTGACATGTATAAGTCTGAAATGTGTTGCTGTTTGTTGGTAGGAGTCTTTGATAATGTTGTTGCTGATGCATTTGAGTATGAGTTGATAGAGCCTTTATGTGTTATTCCACCTGATGATGGAGCAGTCAACCCTTCTGATTTCAATCTTGATGCAAATGCTTGTGCTTCTACCATTCCAAATGCAACTAATGCTTCTACTGCTGCCATTCCAAATGCCCAAGCTTCTACTGATGCCATTCTAAATGCAACTAATGCTTCTACTGCTGCCATTCCAAATGCAAATGCTTCTTCTGCTGCCATTCCAAATGCAAATGCTTCCATTCCAAATGCAAATGCTTCTTCTGCTGCCATTCCAAATGCCCAAGCTTCTATTGATGCCATTCTAAATGCCCAAGCTTCTACTGATGCCAATCCTTATACTGCCGATGAGTCGAACGTAGAGCCTGATAGGGAGCCAAACATCTTTGACAATGAAGAGGAGTATGTTGGGGTTGATGATGAGCACATCTACATTTTAGTACCACCTACACACCTAGCTAACACTGACAGTGCCCAACCATCTGTTGATAATGCTGATCCTATTATTGCTGATGGAGGTGCTCCTCTTGAGGTAGAAATTGATGATGCAGATCCCCAAGAAATAAATGTCCTCCACGATCCTAAAATCCAAAGATTGTCAAGGGACAATTGTTTCCTGACATAGTAACATTTAGGAAAGCTATTCGACATTACGCTGTCAAGAAAGGTTTCGAGTTAGCTAAGTTGCAAACTGACCCAACAAGATTCATTGCACATTGTGCTGCCGAAGGTTGCCCATGGAGAATTCATGCATCTAGGATTTTTGATAATAAAACAATACATGTTGGTGTGGTCCTTTTATTACTGTTTGTAACTTATTCAGTTATACATATGATACTCATCTTAATTTCTTATGTAGATTAAAACATTGCCTGCTGAACATAATTGTCCCACTACCAAGCTGAGGGAGGGAAAGATGGCTAATCAAGGTTGGTGTGCAGATAGGTTGGCGGACTAGGTCAAGAAGAACCCAAATAAAGGAGCCAAGGATGCAAAGGAAAAGCTAGAAGGAGACTATGGCATTAAACTGAAATACTCCAAGGCATGGTGTGGTTTGAAGGTTGCCCTACAACAGGTTCATGGGAAGTACTCAGAAAGTTTTTAGCTATTGTTCAATTGGAAAGCACAGATAGAAATGAGTTCTCCTGGAAGCATTGTAAAGATAGAGTTAGAAGGGAAGAAGAAGAAGCGCTTCAAGAGGATTTTTGTAGCCCTGAAGCCATGTATTGATGGCTTCTTAGCTAGTTGTAGGCCATTTATAGGTGTAGATGTGTCTGCATTGCATGGTAAATATAGAGGGCAGTTGGCATCAGCAACTTCTGTGGATGGGCACAACTGGTTATACCATGTGGCATATGGTGTTTTTGATTCTGAAACAGAAGACAATTGGAAGTGGTTCATGCAGTAGCTGCATAGAACAGTGGGTTCACCTACAGGTTTAGTCATATGTACTGATGCTTGTAAAGGACTTGAGAAGGCTGTGGGTGCAGTGTTCCCTGAAGTGGAGTACAGAGAGTGTATGAGGCACATGTACAACAACTTTATGAAGCACTATCAAGGAGATGTGTTTACTGACCACCTATACCCTGCTACAAGGAGTTACATAGAAGGGCTATTCAGGTGGCACATGTAGAAGATAGCAGATTTTGCCCCAGATGCCATTGACTTCCTTCAGCAACATCACAATTTGATATGGTACAGGTGTGGATTTTCAGAGCTAAGTAAATGTGACTATTTGACCAATAATGTTTCTGAGAGTTTCAATGCTCAGATAAAGAAGTTGAAAGGACTTCTGCTGCATGAACTTGTAGATGGGATTAGGGAACTCATAATGGAAAAGAGGTACTTTAGAAGGCAGATTGGCAAGGATATGCAGGATGGTATACTGCCCAATGTCATCAAAAACTTGAACACTATAAGAAAAAACCTCAAAGTTGTGAAGGTTGCAAGAAGTGATGAAGGCATAGCTGAAGTAACACTTATAGATGTCTGGAACAACCACAAGAGGCACATGGTTGACATGCAAGGTCACTCCTGTTCATGTAGGGAGTGGCAAATCACAGGAAAACCATGCAAACATGCCATGGCATGGATTCTTTCCAACAGAGGAATTAAAATAGTAGATTTTGTGCATGAGTACTACTCTGTTGAGAGATTCAGGGCTGCATATGCTTCTAGAGTTGAGCCATTGCCAGACAGGTCACAGTGGCCATAGGTTGACCTAGGCTTCAAAGTTCTCCCTCCTCTGCTAGGTAGAGCTGTAGGTAGGCCGAGAGTGGTGAGAATTAGAGGAAGCCTTGAGAAAAATGCTACCAAGAAGAATGTTAGGTGTAAAAGGTGTGGAGATTTTGGGCACTTCTCTAAGACTTGCAAACAACCAGAGCTAAGAGAAGATGGTGAAGTTGGACTGAATTCAAAGGAAAAAAGGTAAAATAATTTGTATGTCTCTTTCCAATTCTTGTGATATTCCCTAGTTTTTGATAATCATAGTGTGCATCTGTAGAAAAAGGCAACAATTGGAAGATGATGACAGTGCTAGACCTTCACAAATGAAGAAGAAGACAACACCTAAGAAGAAGGGTGCACCCAAGAAGAAGAAGAAAACTCCTAAGAAGAAGAAGACCCCTAAGAAAAAGAAGCAGCAAAAGAAAGCTGCTGCTCCAGCAGCTAGTGTTGTGAGAAGCCTGAATGACTTCTTAAACACCATGTGATTTGTTGTGATCACAAGAATGAAGGTTATGTATTGTAGACCTTGAACTTTATGTATTGTAGGCCTTGAACTTGATGTCTTATAGGCCTTAAACACCATGTGATAGTTTCTTTTGTCTCCTGAACGTTATGTATTGTAGGCTTTGAACTTGATGTATTATAGGCCCTGAACTTGATGTATGCTAGGGCCTAAACTCGATGTCTGTTATGGTCAGCACTTGTCAAGTGTGTTTTCTACTTTTGCTTTCAAAGCAGGTTAATTAGATCATTCAACTGTGCAACACCATTGCTAGTTGCTTTTGAGCTGCTTCTCTGTGTTTATCTGGAAGGTGCACCACTTGTCAACGATGACATTTGTGCTTCTTATATTGTTGTGTGCCAGTTGATTAGTTAGCACCAATGAAACCAAATCAATGACAATGGAGGCGATGCTGATTATCTTCTCCTTGAGAAAGCACTTCTTCTGTGCTACTGCTTCCTTGCTTGAATAAGATGATGCTGATGAACCTAGACAAGATTGTTGTAAGACAGGTTGCACTCCAATAGGCTCGAAAGGTCACTG